AGTCCCAGCTACTTGCAAGGCAAAGGTGGGAGAATCACTTGAGCCCAGGACGTCAAGGCTGCAGTAAGCAGTGACCCTGTCTCAAAAAATAAATAAATAATGAAATGAAATAAAAATAGAACTCCTGAATCAAGAGCATATTTTGCCAATATTTCTTAAGAAAGGCTCAAAGTGAGATTTTGCCTCACACTCAACAGTATCAGTACTTTTTTTGGTCTTCAGATCCTGTCAAGATTTTTCTGTACTGCTTACTCTTTCAGATGTACCTTAAACTTTCTAGGCTGACTTAAAAAAAAAAAAATACGCTAAAGATATGTGCCAGCTCTTTGTTGGAACTGGGTTAGTTTCTCCATCTGAGTCTTCCTGGTCACTTAATAGAGTTTCACTTCAGTCTCCTCTGTTCCCTTTCAGGAACTCCTACCACGAACTTGGGGAAGTGCTCTCTCCTAACGATCATTTCTCACACCTTTTTCCTGAGTTCTGAGAGATTTTTCTCAAGCCACCTCAGTATTAGTTGGTGCTGAATTTTCTATTTTAACAATTGTGTGTTGTAACTTTAAAAACTCTTTACTGTTCTCAGTTTCTTTTCTTTCCTTTTCTCTACCTGATCTTGCATTTGGAAACCTGAATTATAGCTTTCTCAATCTCATACTATTTTGCATGCTCCCAGGGATCTTGGGGTGAATTTTTCATGTCTAACAACGTATGTTTGGTCATCTTTACAGAAAGTGAATGCATATATCAGTTATTTACCCACAACTGTGTGGGTACTTACACTGTTCACTATCAAAATTCCTTAAGTCTCAAATATGTGGGAACAACCCTCTTCTAAGTGTCAAGCAATTAATCACGCAGGCTTATTATTACCACTGTGCTTTGGTCACTGCAATGATAAATTAGAACACAACAACAACAACAAAAGCTTCTAGTGCGTGTGATTAAAAGACTTTAATAGTTCTGGGAAATTATACCCATTTGTCATAGTTTTTTCTTTTTTTTTTTTTTTTTTGAGACGGGGTCTCACTCTGTCACCCAGACTGGAGTGCAGTGGCATGATCTCAGCTCACTACAGCCTCCGCCTCCTGAATTCAAGCGAATTCTTCTGCCTCAGCCTCCCAACCAGCTGGGATTACAAGCGTGTACCACCACGCCTACCTAATTTTTATAGTTTTAGTAGAGAAGCAGTTTCTCCATACTGGCCAGGCTAGTCTCGAACTCCTGATCTCAGGTGATCTGCCTGCCTCAGCCTCCCAAAGTGCTGGGATTACAGGCATAAGCCATCATCTTCATTTGTCATAGTTTTCTATCGCCTTTCTTGCTGTCAATTTTTACTGCTATTTGTATAATTATGCCTAACAACTTTTCCTTTCTTTTTTTAAAAAAGCAAACTTCAGATTTTTCCCTGAGACATCTAAGGAGTCACTCTAATACGTGCCATGGAAAAAGTATGTTCATATTTAAAGGAGACACAGAAGGAGGATTTATTTGTGCCTGGGGGAGTGAAAGGCGCAGTGTATGAACGGGCTTGAAGCTTGGGCAGGAGTGTGTCATATCAACAAGCAGGGAAAGGAGGGCCACAGATAAAACGGCTGTGCAGCCAGGCATGGTGGCTCACGTCTGTAATCCCAGCACTTTGGGAGGCCAAGGCAGGTAGATCATGAGGTCGGGAGTTCAAGACCAGCCTGGCCAACATGGTGAAGCTCCGTCTCTACTAAAAATAACAAAAATTAACTGGGCATAGTGGTGTGTGCCTGTAATCCCAGCTATTCGGGAGAACTGCTTGAACCTGGGAGGCGGAGGTTGCAGTGAGCTGAGATCACGCCACTGCACTACAGCCTGGGCTACAGAGTGAGGCTCTTGTCTCAAAAAAAAATACAGCTGTGCAGACACAAAGATGTGAAAGCACGTTTAAAAAAAAATGAAGGAAGGGGCCAGGCGCAGTGGCTCACGCCTGTAATCCCAGCACTTTAGGAGGCCAAGGTGGCAGATCACTTGAGGTCAAGAGTTCCAGACCAGCCTGGTCAATATGGCGAAACCTCGTCACTACTAAAAACACAAAAATAATTACCCAGGCATGGTGATATGTGCCTATAATCCCATCTACTGGGGAGGCTGAGGCAGGAGAATTGCTTGAACCTGGGAGGCGCAGGTTGCAGTGAGCCCAGACTGCGCAACTGCACTCCAGCCTTCGCGATGAAGCGAGACGTGTCTCAAAGAAAAAAAAAGAAAGAAAGAAGGAATAATAGGTGTTACAACTACAAGCAACACAGACTTGTGTACAAGGGAAGGAAATGCCAAGAAATGAAGGTTAATAAGTGGAGAAAGAACAGATTATGCAGACAATTGTTCATGCTTAATTCACCCAATTCACATATAGGAATACTGTAAATTAGAAAGATAGTATTGTAAATAGGGTAAGAAATGGATAACGGATTATTTAAAAAATGATATATTTTATTTTAAAAAATATTAACTAGTTAAAAATAAGACAAGAATGCCTATTTCACTATTATTCAACACATTCTACATGTTCTAGCCTGAGCAATTAGGCAAAGGAAAAAAATAAGCATCTAAATTGGAAAAAAAAAAAAAGATGTTAAACTATCTCTACTCAAAATGATATAATCTTATATATAAAAAACCCTAAAGAATTCACAAAAAATTGTTAGAGCTAATAAACAAATCCAGCAAAGTCACAAAATACAAAATCAACACACACAGTACACTTCTGTATACTAGCAATCAACAATACAAAAGAAATAATTAACAAGGCAATCCTGTAATCCTAGCACTTTGGGAGGCCAAGGTGGCCAGATCACTTTGAGCTCAGGAATTCAAAACCAGCCTGGGCAACATTGGGAAATCTTATTTTCTTTAAAAAATAAAAAAAAGAAGTAGCTTGTGCCTGTGGTCCCAACTACTCGGGAGGGTGAGGTGGAAGAATGGCCTGAGCCTGGGAAGCAGAGGTTGCAGTAAGCCAAGATCATACCACTATACTCCAGCCTGGGCAACAGAGTGAGACCCTGTCTCAAAACAATAATAATAAATAATAAAGCAATCCTATTTTAAATAGTATTGAAAAGAATAAAATAGTGGTGAATAAACTTAACCAAGGAGACAAAAGGCTTACACATCGAAAATTATAAACATTGCTAAAAGAAATTAAAGACAAGCTAAATAAAGACAGCCCATGTTCATGGATTTTAAGATTTCATACTGTTAAGAAGGTTAATACTAGCCTGGTGTGGTGGCTCCCGCCTGTAATCCCCGCACTTTGGGAGGCTGAAGTGGGTAGATTATTTGAGGTCAGGAGTTCGAGACCAGTCTGACCAACACGGAGAAACGCCATCTCTACTAAAAATACAAAATTAGCCAGGTGTGGTGGCGCATGCCTGTAATCCCAGCTGCTCGGGAGGCTGAGGCAGGAGAATCGCTTGAACCCAGAAGGCAGAGGTTGCAGTGAGCCGAGATCACGCCATTGGACTCCAGCCTGGGCAACAAGAACAAAACTCTTTCTCAAAAAAAAAAAAAGGGTAATACTATCCAAAGCAATATGCCAGTTCAATGTGATCTCAATCAAAATCCCAATGACAATTTGCAGAAGTGGAAAAGCCATCCTAAAATTTTATATGGAATTTCAATTTCAACGAACCCTGAATAGTCAATCTTGAAAAGTAATAACAAAGTTAGAAGACTCGGCTGGGTGCGGTGGCTCACGCCTGTAATCCTAGCACTTTGGGCGGCCAAGGTGGGTGGATTACCTGAGGTCAGGAGTTCAAGACCAGACTGGCCATCATGGTGAAACCCCATCTTAAAAAAAAAAAAAAAAAGACGACTCACACTTCCTGATTTCCCAATTTCAAAGCTTACTACACAGCTGCAGTAATCAAAATGCACTGTAATGGCATAAAAACATCTAGTTCAGTGGGACAGAATACAGTCCAGAAAAATTCTCCATTCTACAGTAAACTTATTTTCAATAAGGGGGCCAAGAGTATTCAATTGGAAAAGAACAGTTTTTTTCCAACAAATGATGCTAAGAAAATTGGACATCCACAAGCAAAAAAATGAAAATGGACCCCTACTTTATCCTATATACCAAAATTAACTAAAAATTAACCAACAGACCTAAATGTAAGAGCTAAAACTATAAAATTCTTAGAAGAAAACAGAGAGATTGAAAATCTTCATGTATTTGGATTTTGCAATGGTTTCTAAAATATGACACCAAAAAGCACAGGCAACAAAAGAAAAACAGATATATGGCTTTATCAAAAGTAAAAACGTTTATTTACCAAATGACTGTATCAAGCATGTAAAAAGAAAACTGATAGGAGAAAACATCTGCAAATCATATACCTGACAAGAAATTAACCTGGAATATATATAAAAAATTCCTACAATTCAACACAAAAATTGGGCAAAGGATACGAATACACATTTCTCCAAAGGAGATATACAAATGGCCAAAATACATATGAAAAAAGTGTTCAACATCTTTAGTCATTTGCATTTAGTCGTTGCAAATCTAAACCACAATGAGATACCACTTCATACCTACTAGTATAATTATAGTCAAAAAAAAAAAAAAGTGGAAAATAACAAATGTTAAGAAGTGGAGAAATCAGAACCTCACACATTGCTAGTGGGAATGTAAAATGGTGCAGCTGCCATGGAAAATAGTTGGATGGTTCCTCAAAAAACTAAACCTGGAATTACTGTAGCATATTATCCAGCAATTCCACTTCTAGGTCTATAGCTTTAAAAAAAAATTGAAAAGCAGGCCAGCCACAATGGGTCATGCATGTAATCCCAGCACTTTGGGAGGCCAAGGCAGGTGGATCATCTGAGGTCAGGAGTTCAAGACCAGCCTGACCAACATGGAGAAACCCCCATCTCTACTAAAAATATAAAATTAGCCGGGCGTGGTGGCACACGCCTGTAATCCCAGCTACTTGGGAGGCTGAGGCAGGAGAATTGCTTGAACCTGGGAAGCAGAGTTTGTGGTGAGCTGATATAGCACCACTGCACTCCAGCCTGGGGAACAAGAACGAAACTCCATTTCAAAAAAATAAATAAATTGAAAACAGGGACTCAAACAGATACTTGTATGTCAATGTTCATTGCAGTATTTTTCATAATAGCCAAAAAGTGGAAAAAATTAAAGGCCTATCAACAGATGAATAAACAAAATGTCTATATTCAGATGGTGGCATACTAATCTTCAAGATAAAGGTATGCAGTTTTGACACATGCCCTAACATGAATCAATCATTAAAACAGGGATCCCTGGCAGGTGGGCTGCACAGCAGGACGTGACCAGAGGTGGGTGAGTGAGCATTACCGCCTGACCTCTCCCTCCTCTCAGATTAGGGGCAGCATTAGATTCTCACAGGAACCCGCACCCTACTGTGAACCGCACATGTGAGGGAAGCAAGATCCTATAAGAATCTAATGCCTGATGATCTAAGGTAGAACAGTTTCATCCTGATACCATTCTCCCACCACCCCCCAACCCTCAGGTGATCTGGCCACCTTGGCCTCCCAAAGTGTTGGGATTACAGTCATGAGCCACCACGTCTGGCCCTGATTTATGTTTTAACAAATGAAGCTATAAAACAAAGGTTCACATTCTGAATTTTAGTCCTTTGGGCTTGGTGGCTCTCACCTATAACACCAGCACTCTGGGAGGCCGAAGCAGGAGGTCAGGAGTTAGAGACCAGCCTGGCCAACATGGCGAAACCCCATCTCTACTAAAAATACAAAAATTAGCTGGACGCAGTGGTATGCACCTGTAATCCCAGCTACCAGGGAGGTTGAGATAGGAGAATCGCTTGAACCCAGTAGGCAGAGAATGTGGTGAGCCGAGAACGTGCCACTGCACTCCAGCCTGGGGGACAGAGCAAGACTCTGTCTCAAATAAATAAATAAATTTTTAATTTTATTTTATTTATATTTTTGAGACAAGGTCTTGCCTTGTTGCTGAGGCTGGAATGCAGTGGCATGATCACGACTCACTGCAGCTTTGACTTCAGGGGCTCAAGAGATCCTCCCACCTCAGCCTCCCAAGTAGCTGGGACTGAAGGTGCACCACCACGCCTGCCTAATTTTTTATTTCTATTTGCTGTGTTACTTAGATTGGTCTCAAATTCCTGGTCTCAAGCAATCAGCCTGCTTCAGCCTTCCAAAGTGCTAGTATTACAGTTGTGAGCCGTGGCGTCTAGCCTTGAAGTTTTTATTTTAAAAATCTGTATTACTGTAACAATTTCCATCATTATTAGGGTGAAACAGTTAACAATATTTTATTAAATAATGTCAAATAATATTTTTAGTATTTCATACATAGCTTTGTTCTATGTATGGCATACAGAAAACATTACATTGTTGCACCATATTCTCCCTTTAACTATTACAATGTAGTAGCAAACAAGAACTTAGGAAATTGGAAAATAATCTTCTATTAATTTTATAATTTTATAAGGTAGGACCTTAAGATAATCCCAAATTTAAAAAAGAGTTTCTACTTATGGGATAACATACCTAAGTTTCTTTCTTTATACTTTAGATCTCTAAGTGAATCCTAAATTACATGATGGAAAGTGTTCACTTTCTGTTGTTAGTCAGATGTTTGTGCATATACTCTCTATAAAGATGCTGAGAAAAGAACAGTGAAGTATGAAGTATCTTGCATACTTTGAAACACCATTACTTTAGGATAGTAACCACTTAACTTATAGCCTTTAATATGCCTGACACTGGTTGGGGAGAGAAGATCCCTGGTGAAAAGTTCTTTTCTTCATCACAATTATTATTATTATTATTATTTTTGAGAAGCTCTCTTTGAGGAAGAGAGTTTGGAAAATAAAATAGCTCACTGTCACTGAACCCTACTGTGTATCAGGCATATGCTATGTGCTTTTATGTGTGTTATCTAAGAGGTGGTTACAAATGAGAAAACAGACTCAGCTTCCAAGATTATACAGCAGTTAGGTAGCATATCCAGATAGGAATCCAGTACTTAACTTTAGCACCTATATATTTTTAATTTATATTTATATATATATGTATATGCAGATGCTCATATGCATATATAGATTACATGGACATGGCAAAAATTAAACTGTACAAAAGGGTATAGAGTGAAAAAGTCACCTTCTCTTTTCCCTCAGTCCTTTCCCTTAGGTGATAACTGTAACCAGTGTCTTGTATATTTTCTGAGAGATACTCTTCTCCATGTATAAGCCAGCCTGCCTTCCTCCATCCACATATCCATCCCACCCTCGCAAACAGATATTAGCATACTGTTTTGCACTTTGCTTTTTCACTTAGTATGTACTAAAAATACTTCCATACAGATTATGAGTTCTTTTTAACAACTGAGGGCTGAGTGCATTGGCTCACACCTGTAATCCTAGCATTTTGGGAGGCCGAGGCGAGTGGATCACCTGAAATGAGAGGTTCAAGACCAGCCTGGTCAATGTGGTAAAACTTGATCTCTACTAAATATACAAAAATTAGCCAGGCGTGGTCACGGGCACCTGTAATCCCAGCTACTTGGGAGGCTGAGGCAGAAGAATCACTTGATCCCAGGACGCAGAGGCTGCAGTGAGCTGAGACTGCACCATTGCGCTCCAGCCTGGGCAACAAGAGTGAAACTTTATCTCAAAAAAAAAAATTGAACAGTATTCATTACTTAGCCAGTCATCTATAACGCACATATAGGTTATTTCTAGGTTTTACCTATTATAAATAATGCTGCTATGAATAACCTTTCAAAGAAATTATATCAATGTATATATACTGTCACCAATCATGTAAGAAAGTGCCTGAGCTTCACCTACCCTATTAACAAACATTTTGCTCTTTGTCTGATAGGACTATAATTTGCAATTCTGTTATTATTGTGAAGGTGAACAGTTTTTCTTGTTTTTAAAAGCCATTTGTATTTCCGTTCTCTTTTTGGTATGTAGGAGCTCTTTACATATTAAGGAAGTTCAGTTTTTGTCATATATTGCAAATATTTAAAAATTTATCTTTTGACCTATAAAGGTTTTCATGTCAAAAATTTGAATTTTTATAAAATCACACTTAAGCCTTTTTTCTCTAGGTTTCTGTGACATGGCATAAAAAATTCTTTTTCATTCTGTTGATTACAAAAAGTTTTCTCCATTGTTTTCTTATATATTTTATGGTTTCATTTCTTTTATGTTTAGATTATTGCCCAACCAGGACTTTATCATAGTATAAAGAATGAGGTAGGTTGGGCGCAGTGGCTCATGCCTGTAATCCCAGCACTCTGGGAGGCCGAGGCGGGCAGATCACTTGAAGTCAGGAAGTTCGAGACCAGCCTGGCCAATATGGAGAAACCCCATCTCTACTAAAAATACAAAAATTAACCATGTGTGGTGGTGCACGCCTGTAATCCCAGCTACTCAGGAGGCTGCGGCAGGAGAATAGCTTGAACTCGGGAGGCAGAAGTTGCAGTGAGCAGAAATTGCACCATAGCATTCTAGCAGCCTGGACAAGAGCAAGACACTCTCTCAAAAAAAAAAAAAAAAAAAACCCATAAATCAGAACAGAAGCAGTTCCCACTATTACAAAGTTACTCCAACTTTCCAGGGCTATCCTGGCATAACAGGTCCTTTACTGAGACTAGAAGGGTACAAACTCTAGGAATCCTGTAGCCTTACCTCAAACCACAGAAAGAATTCCTTCAAGTACTATAAGGAAACCGTAAAGAGGAATTGATAGCTTTCAGAGTATGAAACTGTTCAAATATAGTGAAAGAAGAAATAAAATAATTCAGTATCAGATTTTCTTTAGGGGAATGACAGCAGTTTGAGAAAAGGTTATAAATATTTGATCAGTGACATGAACCAAATGAAACTGATAGAGAACAAGGGGCATATTAAATCAGAAGTACTGCATTTGAAAAGTTACTCATTGCATTCCCTTCCTCCATTCCTTTTGTTTGAAAAGGAAAAAAAAAAAATGACACATAAATCTATACCATGTTGAAAAAGAAATCCATAGATAAAAGTATCCAACCTTGAATCAGTTTCTTTGTTTCGAGACAGTGTTGGGATTACAGGAGTGAGCCACCAGCCCAGCCCCTGAAATCAGTTTACCGACCACAACTTTTTATCCTGGGGATCACCAGGTAGGCCTATGAACCTATTAAAACCACATGGTAAGTTTGGGGGATTATATTTGTGTGGACATTTCTCTCATAAACAAGTTTCACCTTAAAGGTGTCTCATGAGGTCTATGATCTTTAAAAGCAAGGATTTCACTGTTAAGTCAAAACAACTTCCTGAACCATTAGTACAACTGTGACATATAAAGAACATTAAATAGGCACTACATTTAAATACATTTAAAAAGGCATTACATTCATTTTTTAAAGCTATTTCAGACAATGACACTGCAAGACAATGTTATTTCAATTAAGAATATAACAGGCCGGACTCAGTGGCTCATGCCTCCCAGCACTTTGGGAGGCCGAGGTGGGTGGATCACCTAAGGTCAGTCAGGAGTTTGAGACTGGCTTGGCCAACATGGCAAAACCCCATCTCTATTAAAAATACAAAAATTAGCCAGGCGTAGTGGCACGCACCTGTAGTCCCAGCTACTTGGGAGGCTGAGGCAGGAGAATCACTTGAACCTGGGAGGCGAGGCTGCAGTGAGCCGAGATCACGCCACTGCACTCCAGCCTGGGTGACACAGTGAGACTCCGTCTCAAGGAAAAAAAAAAAGAATATAACAGAAGTTTAGTTTTCTTCTACTCAGGAGAATCAGCACTCATAATTCTTTAAAGTTAGCCTGTGGAACTGTATCTCTTCCTCAGTTATCAATTGCTGTCTTAAATTTTATATGGTAAACTGATTTAGGATTTAGTATATGGCTAATCACTTTTATCCAAAGTAAGGAGGATATTTTTAAAAGTTCCAGTTTATTAGTTGGTTTAAATATCCTCTGACTCTTAACAGCTTTCCGTTAAGAAAAAACTACCTTAACAGGGCATTAAGTGGAACTACAACACAGTTAATAAACAGAGTAGAGAATCTAGATGAGGATTTCCAAAGGAAACAAATCATACATAACATTTATTCGAGAAAGTGAAGAGCACACTTATGTTAATTTTAATTTCGCTTACCCAGACCTTATCTGTCCATCTCTCTGGTTTACCCAGACTATTTTAAGGACCAAAGGAAAGAAAGTGAGAAAAGAGTGGGCAGGTAAGAGGAAAAAGATGACGCAGCTAAAAGAACAGCAGGAGACTGAGAGAGCTGTAACGGTTCTCCAACTGGAAATGAGGAATTCTCTGCATAGTAACGATTTGGAAAAAGTAAAAAAGGGCTTTTAAGATTCTTCTTGGCCAAGTACTGCGGTTCCCTAGTACAGTACTATGAGAAGGCGGGATGGGAGGATCACTTTAGCCCAGGAGTTCAAGACCAGCCTGGGCAACATGGTGACAACCCGTCTCTACAAAAGATAAAAAATTAGCCAAACAGCTGGGCATGGTGGCTCATGCCTGTAATCCCAGCACACTTTAGGAGGCCGAGGCAGGTAGATCACGACGTCAGAAGTTCGAGACTAGCCTGGCAAACATGGCGAAACCCCGTCTCTACAAAAACTACAAAAATTAGTCTGGCGTGGTGGCACACGCCTATAATCCTCAGGAGGCTGAGGCAGGAGAACTGCTTGAACCTGGGAGGCAAAGGTTGCAGTGAGCCGAGATCGAGCTTCTGCACTCCAACCTGGGTGACAGAGTGAGACCCTTCCTCAAAAAAAAAAAGATTCTGGTTAAAATTAAAAAATCAAACAAGAGGCAACTAGAAAAGCTAGGGGACAAATGCAACTATCTGGATTTCTGTAATTATAGATATCAGTAGATTTGCAAACAAGTGTGATTGATCTCTGAATCCCAGATACTGTTTTAAAGGCCTCAAGTCTCAAAATGACCCTACCTATTATAACACATCCATTCCCTCCTAGCTATCAAAATTAAGATGATTCCCTCTGTGCCACTGATCTCAAATAGATCATAAAAACAAAGCAATGTAAGCAGTCACGTGGATAAATTTGGGCAGTGCTGAAATGAGAATCAGAAGTACTAGATTTGGGTCCCAGTTGTGTCACTAACAGATGTTGTAACATTAGGTAAGTCACAACACTATTGGCCCAGTGTTTCCTCAGCCATAAATTAGGGGTTTGGAATAAACTCAGGTGCTGACATTTTAAAAGGGAGCAGTTTTCCTGTGTTTAGCGAACATTTACTGAGCATCTATCATGTTTCAGGTCCCATAAGTAGATGGTGGGAAAACAAAGGAAAAAGAAGACCACCCTCAAGGAGCTACACAGACAAGTAGACAGTTACAAAACAATGTGGTTCATATTCTAATAAAAGAATATAGAGAACTAAGAAATGAGAGAAGGAGGAGCATATAACTTTGCCCAAGGAGACTAGAGTCTAGACGTGAAGATATTTCCCAAATAGACACAGTAGGCATGGAATATATCCAACATGTGAAGACTCCAAATTGTGACAGAGCAGCCAATCTTCAAGGGAATTCAAAGAGTTTGTGTAACCATGTAAAAACACTAAGATTAGACGGCAGGCAGAAGAATGCATAACTAGTAGGCAAGGAAAGTGTTTTAGAAAGAGAGTTTGATTCACCTGCCTAACTGGCTGCCCCACTGTAAGTATGAGAAGAACACCATGCATTTGATATCTGACTTCTAAAAATTAGCTGACTCACAAATGGTAAAAACTGTTCTCTAACAATAGTTGAACTATGAATTTCTAATAAAAGAAAAAAAATTGACCAGGTGCAGTGGCTCATGCCTGTAATCCTAAAATGGTGGGAGGCTGAGGTAGACAGATTGCTTGAACTCAACAGTTCAAAAACAGCCTGGGCAAGATGGTAAAACCCTGTCTCTACAAAAAATCCAAAAAAAATTAGCCAGGCCCAGCTATTTGGGTGGCTGAGGCAGGAGGATGTCTACAGCACAAGAGGTCGAGACTGTAGTGAGCTGAGACCGCACCACTGCACTCCAGATTGGGTGACAAAGTGAGACCCAGTCTCAAAAAAAAGAAAGAAAGAAAAAGAAAAATGTGTGGCCAGGCACGGCGGCTCATGCCTGTAATCCCAGCACTTTGGGAGGCCGAGGCTGATGGATCATCTGAGGTCAGGAGTTCAAGGCCAGCCTGGCCAACACGGTGAAACCCCATCTCTACTAAAAATACAAAAATTAGCAGCGCATGCTGGTGGGTGCCTGTAATCCCAGCTACTCGGGAGGCTGAGGCAAGAGAATTGCTTGAACCCGGGAGGCAGAGGTTGCAGTGAGCCAAGATCGCACCACTGCAATCGAGCCTGGGTCACAGATCAAGACTGTATCTTAAAAATAAATACATAAAAAGGAAAAATGATCAGTCAGGAGTTCCATTGTTTATAAATCCTGATTCATCAACCAAATTCCAAGAGGGTGAGCTGAGAGGCTCACGTGAGCCCAGGAGTTCGAGGTTGCAGTGAGCTATAACCGCACCACTGTACTCCAGACTCGGCAAGAGATCCCATCTTTAAAAAAGAAAGCAATTTAAAAATAAATAAACCAAATTCCTTCTGAGCCATCGCTTCTTAGAAACATCCCATAACATGGCTTTTGTGATTCTCCAGTTTTACTCTTTTCTTCAGCAGGCTCACAGATGCCATTCCTTCTCTCTGCCTTTCTCAAAGCCCAGCCTGATGCAGACAGTAATCAGCAGTGACGAAATGAAAGGCAAGAAGCAATCATGAACACTGCTGAGAAAATCAGAATTAACCTCATACAATCAGACCAAATTAAACTTTTCTACCTTTACCCTTCATTGTGTGGTTCTTGTTTTAGAGACAAGACCTCACTCTGTCACCTAGTCTGCAGCACAGTGGCACGATTCTGGCTCACTGCAGCCCTAACCTCCTAACCTCAAGTGATCTTCCCACCTCAGCCTCCTAAAGCGCTGGGATTACAGGGATGAGCCACTGCCTGGCCAGCACTCTTTCACAATCAATTCTTCCACCTTTGCGCTCTTGGTCCCATTGACTCTTGCTTTCCTAGAAGATTTCTGGCACCAACAATCATCCCTTCTATTTCAACCTCCACCTCTCTCTTTAGGTTCATCCCTGCAATCACATAAATATATCAAGTTGCTCTTTCCTCCTAAGAAATCAACACATATTTATCAAGGGCTTACTAAGCACCTGATACTATGTAAAGCACTGGCACTGCCTTCATGAAACTCTGAAGAGGTGGTAAAAATACAAACTCAGACTAACAGAGTCTGTTCTGCTTCAATCCGAGAATTCATTTCTAAGAAACCTCCTATTATCAAAGTCATGAAATAAAAGACACTGTTCAAAAGGAGCAAAAAGGAGTAAGAGACCAGATAGTTTCAGACTCAAAATACTAAATTCATTTTACCTGCAAGAATTTCAATAAGGTATCAAGTTCTCCTACCACTAAGCAAGTCCAGCTTTTAGTTGTATTCAGTTTTTGCTCAAGAGCAAAGCCTTTCTTTTCCCAGCTCAATTAGCATTACCAAAAAAAAAGCAGAACTCTTCGCAAACATTATCAGAAACATCACCCATTGTTGTGATAAACAAAGCAGAAAGCCACCTTAAACATTTTTTTCCTACCCAACTTGTGTTACTTTCGATAGTGGTTTGCTTAATGCAAATCGTGTTCCCGACATCATTTGCTGCTGTATGACATCCAATTCCCGCTATGAAAGGGGAAGTCTTGGGATGCTAGAGAAGTAAGCCAAGGGGCTCATACCCAGCATGGGCAGGTCAGGAAGGCCTGCCAAGGAAGTGAGACTTCAGGGATGAGTAGGAGGCAGTTAAGCAAGAGAGGAAAGAGAAGGGGGAAAGTTGTGCCAAGACAAAGAGAACAACATTTGCAAAGGTCCTAAGGGGAGAATGGACACACAAGCTTCCAAGAACACAACACGGTGGAAAAGAGGGAGGACAGTGACAGGGGAAATCAAGTGAGAGGCAAAGGCCATGAGGTCTTGTGGGCTGAATTTACATTGTGAGCAACAAGAAGCCATTAAAGGGTTTAAGTGAGAAGTCACACAATCTTGCTTCATTTTAGCTACCTCTCCTCACTTCTTCCCTTCAAGTTTGGCTTCTAAAAAGAGCAGTGTACACTTGCTAGTTTGCATTTTTTCCTGCCTTCTCTCCTGAACTCCAGGTATCTGTCTTGTGAAGTCCGCTGATATGTCTCCCTTTCAGGTATCTGCTAATCTAGCTGTTTAATGTAATGGCCCTCTCAGGCTGGCCCTTACCTGTCAGGTGGCCCTGTTGACCCTCAACTCCCTCCAATGCTTTCCTCCCCACTTCTGCAGTTGTTCCTTGCCAGTCTTTTTCACAAGCTCCTTCTTTCTCTACCCGTCCTTTTTTTCTTTTTGAGACAGAGTATTGCTCTGTCGCCAGGTTGGAGTGCAGTAATCTCAGCTCACTGCAACCTCCACCTCTGGGGTTCAAACAATTCTCCTCGCCTCAGCCTCTAGAGTAGCTGGGACTACAGGCATGTGCCACCACACCTGGCTAATTTATGTATTTTTAGTAGAGACAGGGTTTCACCATGTTGACCAGGACGGTCTCAATCTCCTGAAGTCATGATCTGCCCGCCTCAGCCTCGCAAAGTGCTGGGATTACAGGCATGAGCCACCATGCCCAGCCCATCCTATTAAATGTTGTCTGTCCAGATTCTGTCCTTGGCCCGTGGTATTTCCAAACGCTCTGTATCTTCCCTGGATGATCTCATCAATATCCAAGACACCAAATATCAACTATGAGCTCATGATTTCAAAAATCACATTTTACTCAGATCTCTCTCCCAAACTCCAAATTTATACATTCAACTAGCTTCATTTCACTGTCTTGCAGCTACCACAAATGGAATTAAACAGTTTCAAAACCAAGCTTATATATAACTTACACCCCTTTACCATTTCATTTCAAATCTCTATCTCCCCTCCATCCCTCCTGCCACTGCCCAAGTGCAGCTCACCATTTCTCTTCAGGTTTACTTCAACCAACTACTGCCCTGTGCTGCATGCCTACACTTTTCCCATTCAGCCCACTAGCAGTCAGAACAATCTTGCTAAGAAGTAAAATGATCTGCAGGGTGCAGTGGCTCACGCTTGTTATCCCAAAACTTTGGGAGGCCGAGGCGGGTGGATCACCTCAGATCAAGAGTTCAAGACCAGCCTGGCCAACATGGCAAAACCCCGTCTCTACTAATAAAGTACAAAAAAATTAGCTGGTCATGGTGGTGTGTGCCTGTAATCCCAGCTACACTGGAAGCTGAGGCAAGAGACTCGCTTGAACCCAGGAAGTGGAGGGTGCAGTGAGCTGAGATCGCAACACTGCACTTCAGTCTGGGCGACAGAGCAGGACTCCATCAAAAAAAAAAAAAAGAAGTAAATATGATCATGGTATTTCCAGGCTTACAATTCCACTTAAGTGGAGTTCCTATTAACCAGCTCAAATTCCTTAGTCTGATCTACAAGGGTCTTCTAGGTTCTGCCTTATTCTCCAGCACCTTAACTTCACACCAGTCTCCAGGCTAAACTGTGGGTGGTTCTCTCAGCATTCCATCCTCAGTGCCTTTGTGCACTCCCTCCCTCCTGGGACACTAATTCTCTTCACCTCCCTTGTCTTCTTCGCCTGGCCAACGTCTTTCAAGACTCAGGTGAGGTCCTCCCTCCCCCAAGAAGCTTCACCAGAACTCCCATGTGCACCTCTTTTTGAAAAATACAGGATTCCTAGGTACTCACCTCTACAACACCCTTAACTTGAAGCTAGCTTTACATGTATGACTTTTAAGTTTTCATCTGCTTACCTATTTACAGGGCTGCATCCTTAAAAACTGGGACTCTGTCTTCCAACAAGAATCCTAGGTGTCTAACACTAGCATAGAACAAGCATGTTACGAGTAAATTAATAAAAATATGGAACTACAATGAGGCCCAAAGAGAACAAGCCTCAGAGTGTGAGCACCTTGAGGGCAGGAACTTTGTCAGGAGCAATTCTCTGCTGAATCCCCAAGGCCCGAAGTAAAAGCTGCAAAGTCACTGGAGGTCCAGGCATATTTGTGGAATGGCTGAATGAATGTTCTAAGGCCACAGGAAAACACATAGTCCAAACTTCCTGACTTGCTTTCCATTACTAACTTTCTTGGTTTGTGACCTACTTTTACTGTAACACCAGTGAGCATGGCACAGTTTCTACTGACCAAACTAATAGTCTTGTTTTTCCAGTAGGAAAAAATAATAATATGAGCATTGACTAAACAAGTAAAGTACATGATTCCTCAGTAAGAATCTATAGAAGGATTTTCTGATCTCTTTGAAAATGGATGTGAAATCTCCAGTGGATGAAAGTTTATTAAGAGTAATCACAATTCTCATTGAATTTTCAAGGATACTAGTGATACCAAAGAAAATCAAATTTCTTAAACCAAAATGTTAAACGGAATTGTTATATTCATTTTTCTCTTTTCAAATCTATTTTGATATATAACTTATCCCTTAGAGACAGCAGCCTCTGCTAAAACAAATGTAATTGGAGAAGATGCAGCAGCTGGCAGGCTCTCTCTCACATTAAGATTCCTACCAGAATTTACATTTCAGATTGTCTATAATTGGAAGAGTCCATACCAGCATTCTTTAAAACTTACAGCCCTATTCTAACATACTCTATCATGGGAATCAGGATATTTATACTTCCCTAGTAATGTGTTCAAGAAGAAAACGTTACTTTCTGAACACATTTTTCACTGTCATCTAATTAAATGGAAAGGGGAAAACCCCAGGATTATCCACATTTACAGGAAAGCCCTTTTTTTCTTTTACTTTACAGAGAACCAAACATCAGAAGCAGCATTAACAACCGTCACCAAATTCAATCTTGGGAACAATATGTTAAGAATCAAACGGAGGAGTAAGCAATTAAGTCATTTTAAAGGGAAGTTGTTTTTTTTTTTACTTTTTTTAATGTAATTTTTTTTCTTTCTTTTTCTAGACTGCTCAGCAGTTGTTTAAAAGGTGGTCTAGCTGACATAAAAAAGCGAATCACAAGTGTTCATACTACAGATATGTGAGTTGAATAGGCACAATTACTCTCGGGCGATAGGCGTCGTAACAGGGTGCCCTCTGGGAAGGTGATGAGGGCACTTTCTCAGGACATGGAAAGGTTATTTGGATTTGAGGGGCCTGCAAGGGGGATTCGTTCGTGACACTCGTTTGGGAGCACACATGAGATCTGCGTTTCACTGTAGGGAAAGTATACCTCAGTAAGGAAAACTATAAAGAGAACGACACGCTATCACTGGACGAACACAAGCCGAGCCTCTTTCGTTCCGAGAAGGCTCTGTGGGGCACCCTACGCTGGGCGCCGCTGGGACGTGATGGAAAATGAAGACGGGCGGGGGGGGTGGGTCCCGGGAGCGAGACCACTGCCAGAGGCCACGAGGCACCCCCAACCACCGCGGTTCCACCAGGAGAGCTTCGCCTCGAAGAGGGCTGAGGCGGCCGGCCCGGCGCTTAGAGCGCCAGCTCGACTAGGACATCGCGGCCCTGCTCGCCCGCCCCCGCCCTCGCCGCTCCCGGGGCCACCGGCTGCCTGCCCCGCCACAAAACATCCAGCCGAAGAAAAAGCTGTCCACAGCGGCGTGGGAGCGAC